ACAGACATGACAGTTGATTGTCAACTTTGATTGAGTAGGTTAAGATTTCCTAACTTGAGATAAGATGCTGTAAAATAAGATCAGATTTCTAAATTAAGATAAGATTTGCATCTGTAACATGAATTTGTGAAAAATATTATCTTGACCTTTTAGATCTGAACTTAAGACAAAAAGAAGTTTCTGTAATACGGCCCCACGTGTACCCAGTCAGTCCTGGGATTTGAACCCATGACCTTTGGGTACTGGCTCGCCTCTCCTACCACTACCTATGTAAGAACCAGTGTTGGCGGAGTTCCTTATACAGTTAGCGTAGAATGCTAAGTGTCCACTGCATTGCTGTATGAAAACAGGGAGTACTTGCTGAATACAGAAACCTGGAACTGATTAATGCCTGTCAATACCATCCAGGCTCTAGAGAACCCTTCCTTGAACTTTGCCCCAGTGCCTGAGCCAGGACCCGGCCCACTGGGAACAAACTCTCGGCTGGGACAGCCACAGCTGTAGTGGGACACCCGTGGGCAGTACAGCAGGACCCTCAGGCGAGAGGGGCCTTCTTCTTTAAAACTCAGATTCCTCACGCGTGCAGCGCCGGGTGATTTCTCAAACACGCTTTGAACTTTTAGGTTGTCGGGTTCTGTGGGTTGCAGTCTGTCTTTGTACTCTTCGGGCTGGCAGGCAGATCACAGATCACACTTCGTGTGAAAATCAGGGGTGTCCAAGGCCCAGTTCTGGAGGGCCACAGAACTGCACAGCCTGGGGTTTCACTTTAACCAAGACACCTGATTCAACGGGGCAGGAATTATCGAGCCCCTCATAAGTAGAATCAGATGTCTTAGCAGAGGGGAAACACTGCGACTCCTCTGTTTGTGACAGTCCTGATGCTTTTTTGTAAAACAAAGGCCATATTTTACTAAAAATATGGTTATACCTTAATGTGTTAAACACCCAGTCAATTTGCATGTTTTGCTGATTTTAGTGCACAATTTCTATTTATTTGCTGAGATTAATGTATTTGAAAATTGCACAGGCCACATTTTATGTTTAGTTTTTGTTCAATATGTTTAATTCAGCAAACATCAGTTTAATGAACACTAATCTAGCACTTATTGAAATATATTGCACTTATGCAATATAACACTGGCTTTTGAATGTACCTAGAACACATTCTCTGAGTGGACAATGAAACACTTTTATAAGTAAGATATATAAGACGCCTGTTTAATGCTGTATATTAAAGTGTATTAAATTGTGCAGAAGCGAGTTCTCTTGAGGATATATGTTAACTTAATTTCACTTAGAAAATCAACAAATCATTTTTGCCAGCAAATCATCTGAGCAGGGGCGCCCAAACTTATGCATAAGATCTCCATATCCTAGATAAAGACAATTGACCAAGACATGTTTGTTGTCTGAAGTTTGATTGTGTAGTTTTGCACTGGAGCTACTAAGCTAATGCAGCTAACAAGTAGGCTAATGGAAATTACTTGTAACGACTTGTTAGCATGTTGCTAACTGCATGCCTAAATTGTCAAATTTGGGGACAATTGTGTAAATTTGATTTTGGGTTGAACAATGTCAACATTTTTCTGCAGGCCCTCTAGTGGCCATTCCACATTCTACTACAATCAATATGAATGTTAAATAAAATATGTAATATTTATTATTTTCATTAGTTAAATAGAAATTAGGTTGTAACTGTTGTCTCTGTGAAATTTGGAGACTCGTGTTGAGCTGCTAGTGAACAATGAAGGGTGAAAGTGGAGGGGGGAGATGGCCGTGCTGAGATAAAATAGACAACATCTTCATGTCAAACAGTCCTGTACAACTAACAATAAAAATAGCATTTAAGCGTAATAAAAACACTTTTAGAAGTGTTGACATTCTTGTTCACATATGAAGACGGAAATCCAGTTCGCTTCCACTGAAACATTGTTAAAGAAATTCATAACAGAGCTGCAACATAGCACCTGTGGTAAGGTCACCAGATTTCTGAAATGGAAACAGGGGACATTTCCAGTCTGGTGGTCAATATATCATTAAAATATCAAATGTTTTTATCTATAAAATAAAAAGAGGGGACAGTTCCAGTTTCATCTATTTAACCATGGCAGCTGTTGCAATGTAATAAACGATGCTGAACGCCGACTGATAAAATTGGGTACTAACTAAGTAACTTTGTAAACTGTGTCAGAAAATCATACAGTAGCCACCATGGTGAGTGAAGCTGGTACACTATGGAACACTCAATAAAGACAGTGGTCAGAATGCATAGGAACAAGTTATAGTCCTATGAAAGATTTATATTTCTTGCTTTCCCCTTCATGAGATTTGTAGCTCTTTGCTTTTTAGAAGTAAAGTCATAAATAAAAAGGGCCCCAAAAGTCACTAAGTCTAGCGCTCAGGCAGAGATTAGGCAGGGATATGATTACCACAAAAGATTCAGTGCTTGTATGAGCCCATAATTTATATTCATATTAAATATTGTGGCAGCAAAAAGAGGCCCATGTGGCTGTAGCCCATTAGCCTGACCACACTCTTGGGCAGCTCCAGTTCTGGAGAGACAGGGACAGCTGCTATCAGCTGGGGACATGGCACCAAAACCAGGGAATGTCCTCAGAAAACAGTGATGTCTGGTCACCCTAACCTATGGCTACAGTGAGAAGGGGCGAACCAACACTAGCTATGAAAAGTAGCATAAATTAAGATATGCTGCACTTCAAAACTCATCCATTCAAGATAAATTCAGGAGATAGATTCAGTCAAAGAGGGGGAACATTAGATTAATGTAAGTCAGCTGTGTGAACTTTGATTGAACAAATTAATGGAAGTGAAGTTGACCCCAACCCTTCATTAAGCTCTTTACTTCCTCAAAGCTCACTGATGTGCTGCTTGTTCAGTGATGTCGTGCAGAATTCTCTCAAAAGGCCAAAAACTTGCCTGCTTTGAGTAATTTACACAATGTGTGTGGGCTGTTTACTGCTGCAGGGCACTCTGTATGTATTTATAGTGCTATAATTAACTGTGTAGCTGTTCTGCCTTCAATAGCATGTCTTTTAATAGCGATTGTGGAAAGTCATTGGGCTGAGACAGTCTCAGGTGACGGGTGGAAGTCTAACACACCTATTCAACCTCTCAAATCACCATTAAACTGCACGTACACACACACAGGCACGTGCAGGCACACACGCACACTGAGCCCCAGCTGCCAGACTCCAGTGATGAAACGACCCCCTATTTCTAAACATGGATGCTGGCTTTGCTGATTGAAGAGCAATGCTGATGCCCCTTCAGTCAAACTCATCTCTTCCAAAGTCATGATGCTGCTGATGAAGGCAGTTTAACCTTTCAGTGTGTTTCACATTTTTGCTGTATTGCTGCAATAATATACATTTTCATGTGGATAAACTGTCAATGTAAATCTGCACATCAGATTATAAAATCTATGTCTTTAAAGGAACAGTTTAGTGAAAAATCAGTTTCACATGACCCAAATGTAGTCGATCGGTCAAGAGGTAGCCGGAAGACTGCAGTCCTGTGGTCAGAAACTGGCCAATGATGAATGGTGGGGGGGCTGATAAGCTGCGCAGCAACAGACAGACTACAGTCAGTGAGTGAAAGTACAAGGCAGGAGTTTCTTATAAAGTGGCCAGTGAGTGGAAGCACAAGGTAGGTGTTTCTAATAAAGTGGCCAGTGAAAGCACAAGGTTGGTGTTTCTAATAAAGTGGCCAATGAGTGAAAGCACAAGGTAGGTGTTTCTAAAGTGGCCAGTAAGCGGAAACATGAGGTTAGTGTTTCTAATAAAGTGGCCAGTGAGTGGAAGCACAAGGTGAGTGTTTCTAATAAAGTGGCCAGTTAGTGGAAGTACAAGGTAGGTGTTTCTAATAAAGCGGCCAGTGCACAAGGTAGGTGTTTCAGTGCTTGTATGAGCCCATAATTTATATTCACATTAAATATTGTGGCAGCAAAAAGAGGCCCATGGCTACATAAAAAAGACCTGTGGCTGTAGCCCATTAGCCTGACCACACCTTTGGGCAGCTCCAGTGGCCAGTGAGTGGAAGCACAAGGCTGCTGTTTCCAGTAAGGTGGCTAGTGTGTGGAAGCACAAGGTTGCTGTTTTTAATAAAGTGGACAGTGAGTGGAAGCACAAGGTTGGCCAGCACAAAGTAGATGTTTCTAATAAAGTGGCCAGTGAGTGGAAGCACAAGGTGGGTGTTTCTAATAAAGTGGCCAGTGAGTAGAAGCACAAGGCGGGTGTTTCTAATAAAGTGGCCAGTGAGTGGAAGCACAAGGCGGGTGTTTCTAATAAAGTGGCCAGTGAGTGGAAGCACAAGGTGGGTGTTTCTAATAAAGTGGCCAGTGAGTGGAAGCACAAGGTAGGTGTTTCTAATAAAGTGGCCAGTGAGTGGAAGCACAAGGTTGGTGTTTCTAATAAAGTGGCCAGTGAGTGCAATCATAAGGTGGGTGTTTCTAATAAAGTGGCCACAAAATTGTTTATCTGTGTTGAGTCTCATCATCACTCTCTATGGAGCTAGCAGACACATGTAACGGAGAGACTTCCGGCGCGTTGACGTCACACGCCCAACGTCACCAACGAATCCCGCCAAAATGACCCAGAAACACACGCACATGCTCTCTCTCTCTCTCTCTCTCTCTCTCTCTCTCTCTCTTTGTCTCTTTTGTTCCTCTGCTTCTGCTTCTTTTTCTTCTCCCTCTCTCACACAATTCCCACCTCGAACGACCACCAATAACACAGAGTCAAATATGATGGAATAAAACTGTAAGAAAATTCTGAGCCTATATTTGGTCAACGAAACCAACCTCGGGTCACGTGACTTCGCCATAACAAACACCGTTTATTAACGTGAGAGCCGTAAACGAGACAAACAGAAATAAAGGCTTCAGTGTTGGGGACGGTGCGGGTGATTGCCGGCGATTGGCGGGTTTGGACGCGGAGGGGCGGTAGAGGGCGGGGGTAGTTGGAGGGAGGAGGTGGGGGCAAGAGCGGGCTCCTCATTTCGACCCACTTTAAAACCACCGGGCAGCTTCAGAGCAGCTGTGAGTCGGAGAGAAGCGGGCAGTGTGGCTGCTCCGTTCAGAGGAGAGAGAGAGAGACATAGAAGGACAAGGAGAGAGAGAGAGAGCGAGCCTGTAGGAGTGTGAGGACATCTCTCCATTCTACAGAGCGCGGTGTGGCGGTAAGTGATGCCAGACACGTTATTCATGTATTCTGTGCGGTTTGTGGCTTTGACTCTCGTTGAGCTCCGTTTTCTCGGAGACTCCCGTTGCGCGCGGAGGGAGCGAAGCGTTTCAGCCTGACTCGGTTTATGGCTTTGAGGAGGAGTAGTGTGGATGAAAGCAGTGATGGACGTGTCCAAAAGCATCCAGACAGTCTTTCCAATGAGCTTGTATAATGTCCATACATTATACATTGGCATTGCCAAAGGAATGGGACTCTCTGGAGCAGCTGCACATGAGCCTAAAGTCACCATGTCCAGTGCCAAGCCTGGGCTAGAGGGGTATAAAGCCCCCCAGCATTGGGCTGGGGAGCAGTGGAGCTGTGTTCTCTGGAGTGATGGAGCTCCAATACCTTTGGAATGAGTAGGAGATCCAGAACCGATCATCCAACATCAGCACCTGATCTCACTAAGGGTCAGTCAAATCCTCACAGCAATGGTCCAGCATCTAGTGTTAAGCCCTCCCAGAAGAGTAGAGGTTGTAACCACAGCAAAGGGAGGACAAACTTCCTATTAAAGGGGAATTCCACAGTTTTTTTTCCCAAATAATTTGGTGGAACGTCATGGTTGAGATGTAGTCATTCAGACAGGGCTGATGTGAGTCAGAATTTTTCACAGTGGTGGTGATAGGAACCAGGCGTCCACCTCTAAAACCTCCCTCACAGAGAGTTGTTGCATGAAATGGTTATGAAAACGCTGCCTGATGCCTGAGACGTTTCCTGAGGTGCATGCAGAGCGTTTAAGGCAAAATATTCCCCAACGAAAACATACTATTTTGACATTTACCACCATTTTATCAACATTACATATCACAGCTGTCAGGAGAAAACCTCGTACCTCTATTTTTGTTGTTTTTCAGTTTTTGACATAATTTGAAAATGCCTGTTGCTCTTTACATTGTCTGTAAATTTCATAAAGAATGGGCCAAAAGAAACGGCTCAAAATGACTTGGAAAAAATTCTGGTTCCATTGACTTACATTAAAAGTAAAGTAGGTTTTTTCCTTCTCCTGTAAAGTTACCATTTCAGAGATACAAGGTTTTCTTTTGACAACAGCGATATCAAAACTGAGCAGACTCGTGTAGGTTCACTGGTGGTTTTGGATAGTAAATAAAATGACTATATTTGTGTTGTAGTCATGGTGACCCCTGGTTCCTATCACCACCACTGTAAAGAGAGTCTCTACAGTCAACAATTTCACACCAAACCACTCGGAATAACTTAACATCTCAGTGGCTGAATTATGTCGTTTTTCTAAGTAGTAGAATTCCTTTCAATTCCCTTGATTCAGCAGAAATGTTGGATAAACAGGTATGTACAAACCTTTGTATACATATAAATAATTTGTGCGCGTGTGTTGGTGTGCGTTATATATAAACTGAGGGGGTTGTTTGATTTACAAACTGTAAATGCTTTGACCTCAGGAGGCACTAATCTGGGACCTGTGAGTAACCTCTGATATCCAACATATCTATGTACATATCTGCCGATGCTGATACGTAAACATCTATAAAATGCAGATCTACCTGGATAAGCATAACAGAGGAATGTAGAGGGTTACAAATGCAGTGAAATGAATACAGTGCTGATATTTTAGTGTAGTAGCCCAGCGTCATCTAAACATTCCGTTTGTGCAATGAAAACGTCATAAAATATCAATATTGGTCAAAAATAAACTTCTGTCCAATGCTAATATTGTTTTTTGGAAGCAAGTATGTGCCAATACGGATATGATTCTGCTATCATTGTGCATCTTTAATAGCTATTGCATCAAGTGTCAAAATAAAAGTCTGTATCTACAGACTCTGCTCCATTTGACTGAATTAGGGTTGGGAAATATGGCAATATGTGATCGTTATTGTAATAAATTATGTCACAGTATGCTTTATAAGTATATCATGGATATCATCAGTACTTAAAGAACACTGATTTGCTACAAGTGCAGTTTGTAATACGTAAACAAATCATTATAGTTGTAGATTTATAATTATTATTGTCATAGTTTTTATGTGCAGCTTCTGTTTTGTCAGTTCCAGGTTAATAAATCCCAGAAAAAGGAATATCGTGATGCATACCATGCATCGTTAAAATGTCTCGAAGTATTGTGATATATTTTAGCCATATCGTCCACCCCTAGACTGAATGAATATTAAGTTCATATGATGTTGGCATGAATGTTGATGCCAGTGTGCCAGTGTCGATGGCCAGTTATGTTAGAGGGGGAAAAAATGACTAAAGAAAATCAATTCATTGAATTTGCTTGATTCAACTGTGTCCATCATTTCCACATGAATAAAACATCATTGCTGTTATTGCCCAAAGAAAGTGATCTAAAAGACAGAGCTGTGTTGATGTAGTATATTTTATTCGTGTGGAAATGATGCACACGTTTGAATATAAGCAATTCAGTACGTCTTTTTTAGTGCGAGGAGCTCCACACTTATAGTTCAAACAGCATCCATCGTTCAGCAGATTCTGTTTGAGGATGTTTCAGAAAACGTGCTAGTGAAAGTTCAGTAGCAGCGATGGTCTCTCTGAGGCAGGTGGGCTGGATATGTGCTGGGAGGAAAAACGTGAGTCATGCAGTTGCTTTCGCCTGGTGGGAAGTTTTGGTGACTGAATCATTCAAATATATATAGCTATCCTTTCCACACGGTTAAAAGGATGGGTTGTTTTAACTTCATAAACTCAGTAACCGGGTGGCCTCAAATGTTGGAGTTCATTGAACGTCAAATATAGTATTTAAAGTATTAAGTTGTGTTCATTAAAACTGTAATATTATCAGCACAAACTCAGGTATTGATGGGATCTGAAACCGGACTGAGCACTCAGCTTATGACAGATCTGAACTGCATTATGAGTTCAGAAAAAAGGCTTAAGGTCTGTTTGTTAATGACGCCTTTAGAGGGCAACAGTGAGTAACGTTTGTTTATTCCAACGTTTGTATCACCTGTAGAGGGCGGCAGTGAGTAACGTTGTTTATTCCAACGTTTGTATCACCTGTAGAGGGCGGCAGTGAGTAATTTTTGTTTATTACGATGTTTGTTAATAACACCTTTAGAGGGCGGCGGTGAGTGATGTTTGTTTACTGTGATGTTTGTTAATATCACCTGTAGAGGGCGGCAGTGAGTAATGCTTGTTTATTATGATGTTTGTGAATAACACCTTTAGAGGGCAGCGGTGAGTAATTTTATTTATTACGATGTTTGTTAATATCACCTTTAGAGGGCAACAGTGAGTAATGTTTGTTTATTATGATGTTTGTTAATAACACCTTTAGAGGGCGGCGGTGAGTAACGTTTGTTTATTATGATGTTTGTTAATAACACCTTTAGAGGGCAGCAGTGAGTAATGTTTGTTTATATGATGTTTGTTAATAACACCTTTAGAGGGCGGCGGTGAGTAATGTGTGTTTATTACGATGTTTGTTAATATCACCTTTGGAGGGCACCGGTGAGTAATGTTTGTTTATTACGATGTTTGTTAATAACACCTTTAGAGGGCGCCGGTGAGTAATGTTTGTTTATTTGATGTTTGTTAATAACACCTTTAGAGGGCGGCGGTGAGCAATTTTTGTTTATTACGATGTTTGTTAATAACACCTTTAGAGGGCGGCGGTGAGTAACGTTTGATTATTTGATGTTTGTGAATAACACCTTTAGAGGGCGGCGGTGAGTAACGTTTGATTATTTGATGTTTGTTAATAACACCTTTAGAGGGCGGCGGTGAGTAATGTTTGTTTATTTGATGTTTGTTAATAATACCTTTAGAGGGCAGCGGTGAGTAACGTTTGTTTATTACGATGTTTGTTAATAATACCTTTAGAGGGCGGCGGTGAGCAATTTTTGTTTATTACGATGTTTGTTAATAACACCTTTAGAGGGCGGCGGTGAGTAACGTTTGTTTATTTGATGTTTGTTAATAACACCTTTAGAGGGCGGCGGTGAGTAACGTTTTGTTTATTACGATGTTTGTTAATAATACCTTTAGAGGGCGGCGGTGAGTAACGTTTGTTTATTTGATGTTTGTTAATAACACCTTTAGAGGGCAGCAGTGAGTAACGTTTGTTTATTTGATGTTTGTTAATAACACCTTTAGAGGGCGGCGGTGAGTAACTTTGTTTATTTGATGTTTGTTAATAACACCTTTAGAGGGCGGCGGTGAGTAACGTTTGTTTATTTGATGTTTGTTAATAACACCTTTAGAGGGCAGCGGTGAGTAACGTTTGTTTATTTGATGTTTGTTAATAACACCTTTAGAGGGCGGCAGTGAGTAACGTTTAAAATTAAATTGTGAATTGAAATTATTTTCCCTATAATTTATTTCAAAACCACCATTAAATTCAATTTAATTTTTCAGTATCAGGAAAATAAAAATCAGAAAACTTTATTTTTTAAAAATGTTGATATACAGAACGTAGGGGACTGTAAAAGAAAGCTTCACCTCACAGTACTAGCATTTTGTCCACATCTAGCCGCAGGCTGTTCTCAGGCAGGTCTGACCAGTGGGTCACATAACGTTCCCTCACTGTGCTGCTAGCACCTGGGTCCCGCTGGTGTGGAGGTTACTGCAAGGTGCTGCAGGTGACACAGTGGGACGAGTGACCCACTTACAGCAGCAGGGCATTTATAAAAGATTTCTGGCCAGCCCTCAGTTCACATGGTGCTGGCCGCCTGTCCGCAGCGCTGATCTTTCTCTGACAGACATCACACTGGAGTCAGAGCAAGAGCTGAGTTGGAAACCACTGATTTGGAGATTAGAGCTTGGAGCGTGCACTCTGCGTGAGTGAGTGAGTGTGTTCTGCCAAGTAAAGCAGGATTGTTTATGTTAATACATTTTTTTCTGCCTGTCCAAGTCTGTAAAAGGGAAAGCTACAAACCTCCTGCTGACATGTTTGGCTTTAAAGAGAAGATTTTCTAAAATTTCTCCATAATTCTTGTAAAGACTCAGGTTTCTTTACAG